CAAAAGAGGCTTTAAAAAAAAAAATTCCAAAAGGAGATCAAGAGAGCATTTTCCTTTCTCTTATTCTACAAATGTGGATTAGAGATGCTAAAGAAAGCATTAGTTTTTCTCTCACCTTCATCTTTGAAAGAAGCAGAGATTAAACAGGCACAATTTCCTGAGAATTTATGTAATTAGAGTTCAGCATTTTTCTCAATTCTTGGCAGCCAGCAATAGTTACAATCTGTGACCCCTAGCACCTGGCATTGCATCCATGGACTTAATAGTTACAAGAGCATAATTTCACTTTTCTTTACAGATGATCTTGTAAGCATGGTGGTATCAGTCATTTAAGGAGCTTTTTCAAGAACAAAGACAATTGGGGCCAGCAGGTGGCATGGTGGTTGAGGTGCTGGACTCGCACAAGATCAACCGAGTTTTGAGTCCTGGGCCTGGTGGCTTGCGCGCTCTCTCTCTCTCTCTCTCTTTCTGGCGAGCATACATGCCCTAAAGCAAATTTAAAAAATAATAAGAATAGCTAGCAGGTGGTGTGGTGATTAAGGGTGCTGGACTCCCACATGGCCAACCATAGTTCGTGCGCCAGACCTGGCGGCTTGCTTTCTCACTTTCTCTCTCTCTGTCCCTCTCTGGTCAAGTTAAAATAAATGAATAACGTTAAATAAAATCATTCTTAAAAAAAAAATCCTAAAAAAGAACGAAAACAATAAATGTCCTTGGAGCCCAGAGCAGGTACTTGCATATTTATTGATGATAGGCTGGTTGATTGCTAAATTCCCTTGAAAACATTTTGTCTTTCTTCCCAACTGTGAATGGAATTCTTCATTCTCCAGCAATGCATAAGCAAGTGCTACTTTTCCAGGAATTAACACTTTGGGACTAGATTTTTACCCTAATTCCATGGGACAAATGCATACTTCTGCCTTATAGAGCTAGTTCCAAGAGATGAGGTGAGGGAAGCCTTGTCCCTCAAGCTGCACCGTTCCAAAGCCAACTCTGACCTCAGCAAGCAGTGTTACCAGAATGCTCTGATACCAGTGAGAGGGGCTGCAACCACCCCCATGCACTTCCCTACAGCCTGCTCTCCCTTATCTTCTCTCTCTCAACCTCTGCCACTGTTCCATCGGAGCACTGCTCCAACAACAGATATATCATTATTGGAAGTGTTGCTATTGCTTACACTCTCCCATAATACCTCTCAAGCCAAAAGGATGAGCCAGCTTTTAGATGCTGGCTAGTCTGGACCTGACATTGATAAGTCCCTTGGGACAGTGTTTTGGTCTTCCCTAAAGCTAAGCTGGCCCTGTATTCTTCCACTCCACTCCCCTTCCCCTGCGGACTGCTCAGGAATATGCAGCATGGTATTTACCAACCCACGTGGATTAGGCCTATAAATGGTTGTGAATTGTGAGATCTTCATATTCTCAATGTAGGAGGGGGCTCAGGTAGAGTAATTTGGTTAGTTGGGGGTGAGACTCAAAATTTTGTTTGCATAGGAATTACATGATAGAGAAAATGTCAACAGATGAACAAAAATAGTAAGGACAGGAAGGTTACATGAACTAAAATCTATCCTCTTGTCCTGGCTCTTTCTTGGCACTGCTAAAGAGCAACGCAATAGGGCCAAGAAGCAGAGAAATCCACTTAGGGCCAGCAGGCAGCATGGTGGTTAGGGCGCTGGACTCCCCTTTGGCCGACCACAGTTCAAGTCCCAGACCTGGTGGCTTGAGAATGATGCCCCACTCATGTGCATGTGTACCCAAAATCCTGAGAGGAGAATGGAGAATAAGAAACTGCGGTATGGCAATCCTCCTGGGAGGTGATTTCTCACTTGCCTTCTCTCTGTCTCTATTTGGCAAGAGCATGAGCCCTATGGCAAAAACCTAAAAAAAAAATAATAAATAGAGAGAGAGAGAGAGAAATTCACTTGATTTCTCACAACTGCCTCACATATGGCATTACTTTTCCTCACAAAACATGAGTATTTACACATTTTGTCCTAACGGTACTCTTGGAGTACTTAGTCACATGCCTATGACTCTCTCAAATGATGGGTAGAGAAAGCATGACATTCTGCAGCAAGATGGCTAAGAGCATCCGAGGAACTACCTGCCCTTATGCATGACCACTCAGAGCTAGACCCTAACTTTCGAGGGGTCCAGGCAGCTACAGATCTCTGGTGCACATGCAGATTATGTTCATGCAGGACTCCTGGTAACTGGAAAGGATGTTCATTTGACTTACAATAAGTAAATCAATGAAAGCATTTCCACATACTAAAATTGGACAAATTAGAGGGCAGGATTGGAAAAATTCTTCTGAACTCGCAGAGTAAAATACTAAGAAATGGTCCTGAAGTCAAGTCAAAAGGAGAATTCTTCTCATTCAGATGACAAAACCAAGAAGCAGGAACAGTGAATTTGGTTAAAAAAAAAAAAAAAAAAAAAAAAGACACCATTATTTAAAAAAAGAAGACC